GTATAACAGGCAGGAGGAGGCATCTCCTACCTCATAAAAGAATATGTATATATTTTCAATATGTATTTCGCTGTCGAACTTGCTCGAATGTCGCATTCTTTCTTTACGGCACCTACTTGGTGGGTGGTAAGATAAATACTGTGAAATGAGTTTACACAGCTGCTTTGGAATGCTATTAATGCTTCTGACGTAGTCTAACACGAGTCCATCAAGTTATTTTTATACCCTGTACCCGTAGGGTAAAAAGGGTATATTAGGTTTGTGCAAAGTATGTAACATACAGAAGGAAGCATCTCCGACCCCATAAAGTATATAAATTCTGAATCAGCATGACGAGAGAAATCGATCTAGACATGTCCGTCCGTCCGTCCGTCCGTCCGTCTGTCCGTCCGTCTGGATGAACGCGAGGATCTCAGAAACTATAAAAGCTAGAATAACCAAAGTTGGCATCCAGATTCTCCTAGGTCCGAGAAAGGACGAGTTTATTTTATTTTTTGGAATTTTCCCCCCCTTCCCCCGCTACAGAATTTCGTCAATAACATCCACATTTCAAATGCTACCTAAACCAAACTCTGCACACATAATTTATATATAATTGTCTACTGTTGTTCAAAATTTTATTTAATTCGGTCAATTCTAAGAAAAGTTATTAGCGAAAAAAAATTCTCGCCAGTACAACCTCCCCAAACTGCAGCAACAAGTTCGCTCTTCTTCTTCCTCTTTTTGCTGCTGCTATGGGCGCATATAACTCAGTGACGGAAGTTTACCTGGGTACAGGGTATTACACTGTCGGGCTTGCTCGACTGTAGCGTTCTCTCTTGTTTAATACCTCTTAACACAATGCAAACAATTGGTATTGTTTCATCAACCAGCACTTACAAAATATTTAAGGCTGCCTATAATCTGCACGAGGCACATGTTTAACAGCTGAAGATGTCTTAAAGAGATTATACCCCTTAACTCGCCACTTAAGCCTAAACTAAACAAAATGACATAATTTTTGCTTTTGCATGCTGGCAATAGTTTAACAGCATGCAGAAGCCGGCCAACCCAATCATTCTTAAACTTGGCCTCAGAGCATTACTCTACACACACTTTACAAAGGCATCATGTCGCCCATATGCACGAAACTCGTTCTCTTAACGCTTTTTTAATAACTTACGAAAATTATGTCATCAACGTACACGCACTGGTACCCATTTATGTGCACAGATATATGTATATATATATATGTATATGTGGCTGGCCAGTCGGTCGATGATTGACAGTAGCCTGTTATAATATCAAGAACGAATAACAGCTAATAACACAAAGGCTGCTACAGCTTTTATACTTTATACTTTACAATTCGCATTGTTCCCTTTTCTTTCTTCACTGGTCCGCCTTCAAAATGCAAGTGCATCATGAAAAAACCAACAACAACAGTGACGGTCCCAACCATGGCCAGCTGCAAAATGCTAACTTTTTTGTTTATTGCGAGTATATAGTGCTCAACTAGTCCTCTCCAAATTTGTCGCTGAACAAGGTTGCCCATTTTTGCCGCCTCCGCTTTGGCATAAACATCATCATTATTGCTATCATCATTACCATCAACATCATCGCAGAGAGCGTGGCTTACCTGTGAGTGGAAAAGGCAGAAATTAACTACAATTAGTTATTTTGCATATGACTGCATTATAATTTATATTCAACTTAACATTCGACAACGAATAAATACACATACACGTATAGTATATGAAATGTTTTTTGTTTGCAGCTTTTGCCCTACAGCTGTGTAATTTATTGTTTACGTTTTTAGCTCCGCATGTTGCGCTCAAATTATAATATCATTAAATCTACGTTTTACACGTAATTCTCTTCAATTTCCATGTGAACAAAATAAAAGTAAAACAAAAACAAAAAGCATTGAAATGTTGTGGCAATTACATTCCTCAGCTGTGACTTCTTGAAAGGTCGTTTAAGGTCTTTATTAGTTGCATAAGCAGCTTTAAATAATTTGTAGAAATAACAAGATTTTGTAAATTATAATAAATAAAGAATGGAATACTAGAGTCGAGTGGGCTCAACTCTGAAATACCCTGTTCGTGTTCACATTAATTGACCTATCATGATGAAACTTAACATATGGACACATAATCACTAAATGGATGTAATAACCAAATTTGAATTACGGTAGTTATGGAAAAACACGAATTGTGGGGGAGTGGGGGTGCATCGAAAAAAAACTCAAGCTCGTACTTTCTCGGACTTAGGAGAATTTGGATGCCAAGTTTGGTTATTCCACCTTTTATAGTTTCTGAGATACTTGCGTTCATACAGACAGACGGACGCTCGGACAGGCGGACGGACGGACATGGCTATATCGACTCGTCTTGTCATCCTGATCAAGAATATATATACTTTCTGGCGTCTGCCACGCCTTCTTCTGCCTCTTACATACATTCGCACAAACCTAGTATACCCTTTTACCCTTTGGGTACAGGCTATAAAAATAACACGATATGACTCTTAGAATTCTTCTGAATTGTTAATTCAGAAAATCGTTCAACATAAAACGATCTTGTTTCAATCGTAGGCACACAGCTTCGGACACTGACGCTAGAGATGGGCATAGGCCTGTTTTTTTTTCGGCCCGTCACAACACAATCACGAAATTGGCGTTTAAAAACATGAACGCGGTGAAAATACTTTAGAACACGTAACAGCATGCTTTTTAAATGGAATTATAACATGCTTATAATAGTCCGATTCAACACAATTTTATAAAACCGAGTATGCAATTGCCGTTTGTTTTCTTTCGTAGATAATAAAAACCAAGATCGAAGTCGATTGGTTAACAAACAAAGCTAAAAGCGGTAAGAAAATTTTTAGTTTGTAACTATTCTAGACATACACAATTACAGAGCATTTCCAATTCGGGGCACCCGACTTTAGCATTTCCACTTATTTTATTTACTTGAACCAAAACTAAGAGCACAACCTAAAATAAACATACATTTATAGACAGAAAATGCATACGGGGACAGGCTCAACTGTTACGTTAGCATTAGACGTAAACAGGTCTATAACCAGTTCTGATCAACTCGCAAAAGTTGCCCATTCATTAACGACTAAAACAATACCGAACCATTATAAAATTGCAAACTTAATCATTAGTTAGAAGTTGAAGCTGTCACAATTAAGGGAAAACTCTGTCAGTGGCACTGGCAACCACCAGCACAGGTATACGAAAATGTGGATAAGCCAAACAAAAGACTCAGACAACGAACGTGACACATGCAAATTACTTGCGGGCAGTGGTGTAACAGTCGCATCTATTAAAGGCTGCTAAATAATTTTTATTTGTACCGCTTTTGTCATAATCAATTTTTAATTTCTTCATTTGGCGTCGTGAGCTCGGCTGCAACGAATGCGACAGACGCCATAAATTCCATCTAACTATGAAATAAATCTTATTGCCGCGCAATTAAATGCGAAAAGTTGCTGCACTTTGTTGCTGTAGTCGTTGCAGTTGTTTGTGTTGTTGTTGCTGCTGCAGCTGCTGTCGCTACTGCCAGACATAATCATAACAATAATAATATAGTCGACGCTGTGCACAAACAGACAATCATGGCTTGGGCAAGACTTGGCATGCCACATCTGTATTGCGAGTGTCACTGATGCGTTTTTGCGTAGATACAGCCGCGTCACAGTGGTTCACAATTTATATTTAGGTCCACTAATCACTTGAAAATTTTATGTATTTCCTTAAATATCTTATAGCCGCTAATAAGGACACATATCGTAACTTAGTACTCGCCCTTTCAATCTGCAAACTAATGATTTAACTTTTTTATATGAGACCTTTAACAAGTTATTTTAGATGGAATCACCCTAAAGATGGCTCATTCCAAATTCAACAAATTTAAGTCATACAGCAACACGCTTTCAGAACCATTTTATGTAGGTTATTTTGTTTTGTTTTGACAAAAAAGTTCTATGAATTAAGAACAAAAGCACACAAGCAATTTGTTTTTTTTTTTTTGTGTACCTCATTAATTTGAGGCATCAAAAGTTTCTATAGAATTAAAGGCTTGAAACTGCGGCATCCCAATACCATATGTCTGGTTTTAAACACTAAATACTTTTTTAACAGGTTGCTCCACTGTCCAGCACAGCCTAGCATGCTGATGTGCAAAGTGATACTTTGCGTCTGAGTGTCTCTGTTCTTGGTGCCTGATGCTCAAGTAAGTATTTTTATTTTCTTATTGTTTATTATTTTACTTGTAATGCCTTACATATAAAATATCTACTTATTTAAAATGGATTGTATATGTTCCAGTATATATATATAGTATGTGTATGTATGTGTGCAAGCGCTCAAGGTAAACTAGATTTTATTGTTGAGGCGGCATTGTTATTGCTTTTGGCATTCGTTCTGGCTTATTCGCCCACTTGTTGCGCATCAAGCACGTTTCATATTTGAAGAATCTGGAAAAGCTTCAATGAAAATGAACCCACTTTTCTATGTTTGTGTGTGTGTTAAATATCAATGAAATTAAGTTAAATATATAGAAAACGAACTCAAAATTTACATTAGGTGCAAATGTTAAGCTTGATTTACCATTTTTGTGCACGCGAAGGTAAGAACGAGAACGTCAACAAAAAGTTTCTCAGTTAATTAGTTATACGACTGTGCACGTACTATATGTATGTACATTTGGATGTTTGTATTTATGTTTGCTCGACGTTTTCTGCTGAGTTGAATGGAACGTAGGTTGTTAGCATTGATTGACCAAAATTGGCTTATTCAACATATGAATGTACATATGTATCTATATGCTATTTGGTATGTTTGTGTGTAGTCTTTGGTTAGTAATTTTGACTTGTTATTAATGAGATTTTCCTTTATTTGTTGTTGCTGTTTACTTTTGTTGTCATTAAGTTTTAGATGTGAATGTGAGCTGATTATTTCTGGCGTTTTAATATTATACATAGTTGATGTCACAACACACACTGACCTATGCGCTTCACATGTACATCTCGATTGAAGCTGACACGTGGTCCACCATTTGTTGTTGCTGCTGCTGATGATGAGCCTGGCAGTTGTTTCTGGTGATGTTGTTGTATGATTGATGCGGCGGGCATTTTGATTGCTTTCGTGTTGCTGTTACTATTATAACTTTTGCTTGTTTTGTTGTTGTGATTAAAGATTTGTTCTGCTTTTCAGTTCTCGCACATACTTTGCCGCTCTTTGGTTAATTAACATTAATTTTTGTATTCTTCCTTTGTTTGAACATTGCTCTTTCCTTTTAGAAAGAGTGAATTTTCAATAAGTTTTCATAAAGCTGCATGTGACTTAAGCAATCCAAAATTGATTCCATTACTCATGCCTTCATAGTATGTTTCATTAAAATTTTTTTCTTTTTTGGTGCTGCAGCATTATCCTTTATATGTGACTGAAAATGGATTCGGCTGTTATTTAAAATAGAATAGAAATACTTGTAACAATTTTTGTACAAAAAAGTCACACTTGCAGTTTTAATACTCGTAAATATTATATTTCAAGCTGCTAAATCCCCAATATCAGTAGTATAATTAGTTTATTATTTGAATTATTGGGAAGCCTTGATAGATTCTTGTTAAGTGCAGGTTAACGATTGGTTGAGTTTTCATTATTACGATTATTTTCAAAATTGTAACTCAAGGATTAGCTCAGAAAGTGTTATGCATTATTTGCTTTTTTCTGGTTGGTTGGTGGTTTTGCAGTTTTATTTGTTGTTGGCATTGTTTATGTTGTTGTTGTTGTATTGGCATCTTGTTAAGTTCATTTATTGTCTTAAGCCAAGGCTTTATTTTTTATTACTATTATTTTTTGTAAATAGTTTCATGCGCAATGTTTGAACTTAGCTTGAAGAGAAAGTGTTATTAAAAATGTATTAAAAGCACATCGCAAAAAATACATCAATTATAGCACCAGCAGTAATTACTCTGTAATTATGCTGTACCAAGTTCGTGTCCTAAATCTTTCGCATAGCGTGCTAAATTCAATTAAAATTGTGTCGATAACTAACATAATACAGACGTATAGGAGGGGAGCGCCGATTTCTAAATACTCTGTACCTATGTGTAGAATAATTATTTAAATTAAAAACAAGAGAGAACGCTACAGTCGAGCAAGCCCGACAGTGTAATACCCTGTACCCAGGTAAACTTCCGTCACTGAGTTATATGCGCCCATTGCAGCAGCAAAAAGAGGAAGAAGAAGAGCGAACTTGTTGCTGCAGTTTGGGGGAGTTGTACTGGCGAGAATTTTTTTCGCTAATAACTTTTCTTAGAATTGACCAAATTGAATAAAATTTTAAACAACAGTATACAATTATATATAAATTATGTGTGCAAAGTTTGGATTAGGTAGCATTTGAAATGTGGACGCTATTGACGATTCTGTAGCGGAGGAAGGGGGGGGGGGGGGGGGGGGGGGGGGGGAATTCCAAAAAATAAAATAAACTCGTCCTTTCTCGGACATAGGAGAATCTGGGTACCAACTTTGGACATGGCTATATCGACTCGTCTTCTCATCCTGATCAAGAATATATATACTTTGTGGGGTCTGCCACGCCTCCTTCTGCCTGTTACATACATTCGCACAAAACTAGTATACCCTTTCACCCTTTGGGTACAGGGTATAAATATCTCATACTTCAAAATCGGTTGTTTATTTTCAAGGATATTCAATGTTTGCATATCGACATAAAAGATGGCGCACCCTGTACTTTCATTAAATTTGTAGCGACAACACAGAAAATAATATTTATGTGTTATTTGTGGTCCCGACATTTTGTATTCCCTGTACCCAAAGAGTGAAAAGGTATATTAGTTTTGTGAGAGGTGAAAAATTTAACAGGCAGAAGGAGACGTGGCAAACCCCACAACGTGAATATATTCTTGATCAGCATGACAAAACGAGTCAATCTAGCCATCGGTCCGCCTGTCTGTCTGTCTGTCTGTATGAACGCAACGATCTCAGAAAGTATGACAGCTAGAAAAAACAAAGTTGGTATCCAGATTCCCCTGAGCCGGAGAAAGGACAAGTTTGTTCCTTTATTTAAATACACCCCCCCCCCCCCTCCTCACTCCGCCGCTATTCGCGATTTTCTATATAACTAACAACTAAACTAACTAAACCTATAAGAGTACAGTCCATACAGGACAGTCCCATACATATATTTATTGTAATTGTATTTTTATACCCTGTACCCGTAGGGTAAAAAGGGTATATTAGGTTTGTGCAAAGTATGTAACATGCAGAAGGAAGCATCTCCGACCTCATAAAGTATATATATTCTGAATCAGCATGACGAGAGAAATCGATCTAGACATGTCCGTCCGTCTGTCCGTCGTCTGTCCGTCTAGATGAACGCAACAAGTTCGCTCTTCTTCTTCCTCTTTTTACTGCTGCTATGGGCGCATATAACTCAGTGACGGAAGTTTACCTGGGTACAGGGTATTACACTGTCGGGCTTGCTCGACTGTAGCGTTCTCTCTTGTTTTCAGTTGAAATTATTACTAGAATCATTATGCTTATGCTGAGTATGTTATTTCGAAATCTATGTACTATGTATTTAAATGGTATTTTCATATTTAAGTTTAAATCAGCATGAATTTCTCTTTATTGCATTCTTAATTCTCTCTGGGTTGCACAACTTTAAAAATCCATTGAACTTTGTATACATGCAAGCCAGAAACTATATTTATATATACAGGTTATTTATATTTATGTATTTATGTATACATAAAAAGGTACACAGGCATGCCTAAGCTCATTCGTTAAGGAGTGGCCTTGTATACTGGAACAGCAGAGAGGGGGGAGAAAAAAGAAAAATCTACATCTAGGGAGCTCTCGCCATTGAACAAAATATTGATTGCGAAAAAGCAAATGCGATAATATTCATTTTTGAATACCCACAAAGTCTATTTAAACAATGCATTATGCTCTAGGACATGTCGCACACACACACATACTGACACACGACTGTTCTGGTGCTAAGCAGGTGCAGCCAATGCGCCTGGCCTAGCGCCTCTGGCTATAAAGGAGAGAGAAAGACACGCACCCACCCAAAGACAGCGAGTAGGGCTGACTGCCAGACGGCGGTAATGTGTAGAAAATTCATGGCTATTATGGCACCTGAAGAACCAGATAGAGGAGCATGGGCTGGAGCAGCGCAGGAGATGGGACGCGCAACCCATTCACTTACCGACTTACTTACAGACTGCCCATGGCCACGCTTTTCACTCTAACAAGCACACAGCCAAAACCACTCACAAAGCTAGACATCCATTAGGACGGAAACTGCTGCATGATGCTGCCCAAGTCTAGGCCAGAGCATTATGACCACGATGACTGTACACCGAAAAACGCTACGAGCTACCAATAAAAATCCTTTACCATATAATTTGAGTGCTCATGCGTGAGCCAGCCGTACAGCTGACGTTGATGGGAAGCTGACTAGTCAGCTAGACACTGCTAACGTCCTCGTCTGCCATCGTCTCCCATTGTCGTGTTCCATCGTCGCCATCGTTACAATCATCTACCTCTAGTTCGTCAGTTGGTCGGTTAGTTAAGCACGCCATGCCAGACGCGAGCACTCTGTCAGTCGGACGATGGCAAGGCGCTTATGCGCATGTTATAGTAGATGATGCCCCGATCCCCGATCCCCATGTCCGATGCCGATTGCAGCGCGTTGATTGCGCTATGAACGTGATTTGTTTGTAAACACGCATTATTAAGGTGTAATAAACATAAAATTTGTAGCGCTTCGCTTGCAAGACCTTTGTATTTATTTGTAGTTGTAGTTATTGCTTTTCGCTATTTTGTTGTTGTTACTCTTGCCGTTCTTGTTATGAACTGCCCTAGGCTAGGGCGTAGGCAGCTTTTACCAAAGGGGGGGCCAAAAAATTAAAATTATGATTAAATAATGCACGATGCATTTAAAAAATAACTTATTCATATGATCAATGAAAAAACTAAAACAAATCCAACTCTGATCCATTTTAAGGCGAAATAATGCGTCATAATAATGAACGTGTGGTCGACTTTATATGGCAAATTTTTTTCCCCCTACGCGAGATAAATATCATTAATAGTGGGGAAGAAGCAAAATCTCTTGAACCAAAATTTGGTGTCTTAAATTCTCCGAGATATTGGTTATTATTGTATACAGTACTCGGTTTAGACTGGTTTCTTACCTAGCATCTGCGGGCCTTTTCATTATAAATAACAAAACAATTCGCAACATAACCTCACAGTGTAAATTTCATAAGACTTTATAAAATACAATGGTACCTTTAAAGTGTTCCTAAAACGACAAGTCATTAACATCATCCATGACTGCCTATAATTTATGATTTAAGAATCCAAATAAAGCCAAAAATGATTCCTATTTAATTTATGGTTTTTCATGTGCCGCAAATTATTTCAAAATTATGCTGGTGCGCAAACCTTATTATGTACATTATTATGTACATCACTCTAAAAAATAATCAAATTATGTCTAAAAATAAAAGAATAATTCGCAGCACAATTCAACGACAAGCAAAACAAAGAACAATAATGATTTTGAGCTTGAACTTTAACATTATTAAGGCAAAAATACACAATCAAAATAACATACTATATACGTAATAATCACAATGGCAAAAAGTCAGGCCAAGCAAGCCAACTAAGCCCCGCCTAGCTATAGCCAACTATCCCTCCCCCTGCCCTGTCGCAAAAATCTGTCGACTTCTGTCAAGTGAAAATAAAAGTGCGCAAAGCAAACAAACTCGTCGCCCACTTTGCGTTTGTTCTGAGCTGAAGCTCTGTGCTGACCTTTGGCTTGGGCCATAAAAGGAAAATGCAAACAAAAATGGTAAGCGCAGAAATGAAACAAACTACACAGACAAACACCCCAACACACACATAAACACAAAAGACACACTCATTCATACAGATGGCGGAGAATGATGTGCGGCTCTTTGCAAAAGTGAAAATGAAGGTGTAGTCCAATTTGTATGTATGACCAAGACCCTGAGCCCTGGGGGCTCCAAGACGAAGTTATGCAAAGCTCGAGCAGATAGTCCCCAAACATCGCCACTACCGCCCGTTGAAGCTTGTCTAGCGCACAATTTTCCATGCGTGCTCCGACGGTCGCTTTTGCTTTGTTGGTGGCGCTCACATTTGCCGCATCGGCCAGTAGGTAACAACAACAAAGATGACGACGAAGACTACGACGCCGTTTCAGCTTCATCCATTTGCCGGCTCGGAAA